GTGATGTAAATATGGTTAGGTTTTGTTATGTTCAGTTGGATTGGGTTATTTGCAAGGAGATGCTCAGTGATGTAAATATGGTTAGGTTTTGTTATGTTCAGTTGGATTGGGTTATTTTCAAGGAGATGCTCCTAACTATAAAATAATTGACATATGATGGTGATGTAAATTACGTTAGGTCTGGTTAGGTTGGGTTAGGACAGGTTCTTTGGAAGAAGTCACTATAGAAATTCACGCTAAGGTAGATTGTGAAGTATTCAGGTTCGTTTCCTTACGATTTGCAAGTATACTATTCGTTTCGTTATAAACACATTGACTAGTTCTCATTTAACACCTTCGTTTCCATAGGCCCTATTCTGGAAAAGACCCATTTCGTAAAATTATGTAGTAGGGTATTTACAGCTTAGCATGTCTCTAGTTTCGGCTATTTACGAATCATCTCCGGACGGTTAAGTACTAGATAAACCCCTCTAAAAAGTTGTATTTCATACGTTGGCATACTTTTATGTTGGTATTTTCAAAATGTAACATAGAGGGCATGATGTGATCTCGTAACGGATAGTGATGTTCAGTAACCTTTTTCAATGGTTGGGTACAGACTGACTTGAGTGAAACTGTATCTAACGAATTTATGAGACATGCTAGAGAGTTAGACGCTGTAAAGGGATATTGTCGTCTGCCATTACGTAAAAGGCACCATAAACTCCTCACACACACGGCACTGGATTAGTATTAAATAAGTGTGTTTTCCCTTCAAGAAAACCGACTAGTAGTTTACATTGGGTACTGGAGTATTTTCTTTGACGCTATTAAAGTCTGCAAATCGTATCACTTTGGTGATCGCCGGCTCTCTCGGTCTATAGTTTCGTCGCAGTGGGTCACCGAAGGCCGGAGGTGAAACTACCGAAGAAAGCGAGTTGACCGTTCCTAATGAAAATTTATTTGCGTCTGAAGGTCGACCGTGGGGAAGTACATTATCATTTTAATTTGCTTATACAATTTGGAAAAATCAAAGACAATTTAGCTGTTGTCACGTTGAACGTTACAAAACAAAGTGAAGCAATTTGTGTTGCACTTTTTTCTTGATTTAAATATAACATAATATTTTTTGTACATAAGATTTTATATTCAAAAGATGTTACGTCAAAATATTTTAGGAACGTAGTAGGTGTCATGTAACGGTAAACAAGTCTGTTTTATAGCCTATAAAAAAAACCTTTTCATTACTTTTCTTTAGTAATGTGTTATTGAAATTGTGCGCATTTTATCAAATGTGGATGTTTCTATTCTATATATCAATTATACTCCAAGATAAAGCTAATTTCCGGCGTATCGGGTGTGTGTGTGTGTGTGTGGTGGAATGCAGTGGTGACGTCACGGCCGCCATCGCATGTCGCGTGATTGTTCGCCAGTCTCGCGCTTGACCCTGCCCATCTTGGACCGAGTATCGCCATATCGGTCAGCAGGATCATTTTGGATCTCCGCGTGCCAGTTTTGCTATCCCGCAGTTTACAAGCCATCCAATAGCAGCCGTGGCTTTGCTATTTAGTAAAGATGGTGATACAAGTATTAGTTAACGAGATACTAATTTTCTTAATATATTTTCACGACGTTTGAAGGCTTGAAATTTGATTCCGTCTTTAGCTGAAAAAATCAGATATGTAGAGTCAGATGGGTTTCGGAACCGAAAAACGTGGACCTAGACTTACATTTTGACGACTATTTAGAAGTCCTGAAATAAAATGAACTAGGTATGACAATGGATAGGGAATAACCTTAAATTCAAACAGAGAAGTCTTAGCATAGCCACGATAGTTTAAGTTATGAAAATTGTAGATTCCTATTAATTTGAACTCAAATTTCTTTTTACCTCAATTATAATGATCTTTGTTCATGTATTTTATTTCTTTACGAATTATTTAGGCGTGTAGTAGATACGCCCCGACATTGTTATTGAATATACATTTTTAATTGACTTGCATGCTGTATACTACGATTTCGTTATAATTCCAGTTGATAGTTATGATTACATTCTAAATTGTTTTACTAATTCTTTGGAAAGTTACATCTATAATTTGATTCTACAAACATTTGGGTGTGTAGCCTTAAATTACACATAAATCCCTCTCAAAATATTACATAACAGTTAACCAATAATTGTTTACAAGATAGACGCAAGTGTTTGCATTCGATTGCCCAAACTGGAAGATCGTGCAGTGAGTAAACAATTAACAGTCTAGGACGTCGCAAATTCCTGACGTGAATCACTGTGAGGGGCGAAGTCCGGGTTCTGTAGATTACTCAGATGTTTTGTGGTGATCTCCCTGATCTCCCCCAACCTCCCTACCCATGTCCTAGAGCCGCACATTGTGCTTCAGTCTTCAGTCCGCTAGGGGTAGCAGCTAGCAGCCCTTTTAGTGCGTTCGCGTTGCCACGTTCCACGTTTTATTTTCCGGTGTTACATGACAAGTTGTGTTGTTTCGATATTAGGTCAAATAAACATACAGCTGTAGCTGCATGGGTTCACTGTATGGATTAAATTACGATGGATCAGGTATGATATAAGTTTTTTTTTAAATGTTGATAATGTCTACATTTCCATTCCTTCTGAAATAATTTGTGAATTTGATAAATTTTGGCCTGGACTTGGTGGGTAATTGTGTCAAACTTAAACGGTAGACATGTTTTTTCTTATAAATACGATGCGATAGTTAATTTTATAATACCACACATACAACTTAAAGCAGCCATTTCTTTTGACTAATAGATTCATTTTTAGAGCAAAGATTATCTAAATACTTTCTGACATGAAATGACTGTCTTGTGCATTTCAAGCGTCCATTACAAGATCGATTGCATGTAATTTTGCCTTAAGATCAATAAATGTCTTAAATGTCTTTCTAAATCCACATGGAATAATGGGAAGGATGGAATAAGTACAAAGCTGTACAAGCTTTTTTCTTACAATTAGGCTCTAATATTCATCATTTGATTTTTCTGAATTGTTGGAATTTCACTGCCTAAATCTTTAGTCCATATCAGAATAATTTTAAGTAATCTCTAATCAGATGATTAGGGACTATACATTTTATCAACAAGAACATTATGTCTAGACATTATCTACGACCAGATAAGGAACATTAGTATAAATTAATCATTCAAATTGTGCTAGATTCTCATAGCTAAGCCTAAACTTCTATCTATTTATTTATTTATTGACCGAAAAACAATTTTTTTACAAGGTTGGGGTTTTCCCCTTCTTTTTTAAAACAAACATTTCTTACCAGGCCAATTTTAGCAATGTTTACATTTTTTGTGTTTCCGAGTATTGCAGTAAAAATAAAAACGTGCACACCTAAGTTGTTATTGAACCCAAATATTATGAAATACCGACTTATATTTTGGATGTTGTTTATTTGCTACAAGTTGATATTTTATATTCCAATGGAGGCCAATTACTTACATAATTATAACAGTAGTTGGACAATTGTTATTCAGTCATTCACAATCATGTTATTGTTGTTTAGGCTAATTGGAAGGGTTGGGGAGAGGGTTGCTAGATTTAGACAAGTACTACAATTTTGTTGTACATGTTAAAAATAGGTTAGGACAAGAATTGGATTCCCTTCAATTTCAATAGTCAAAATAATTAATTTGGTACCTAATGTTTATTATTGTAGACTAATCATGTAATTATGATAAGTCATGCTTTTTATTGTACCTATTCTTATATTACGTCTATCAATATTTTAAATGATGAGTGTGTTTCGGTGGTTTAAAAATCATGTAACATCATATTTATCTAATCTAATCTTAGTGTGGGTAGCAGTGTCGTATACATACCTAAATTCTGACGGCCATTCAAATTTATACCATTTGGAGCATTTCAAAGCGTTGCTTTTTCAACCACTCTCAAGACTCATCTCAACCTCTTACATTCTCCATTCTCAAGATTTCTGATTCATATAATAATACAATAGCTTAGTGAAAAATTAAATTTAAATGTGATGGTAAAATTGGGCCATGAACACCTCACAGTTTTTATATCAAGTTTAAATCAATCTACTTTTTATGTAAAGTATTTCCAACCACTGTCGCTTAGAATCTGAGCGTTAAACACAAAGTCTTGAGTGTTTAAAATGACACCACGAGGGCAAAACTGTCCAAAGAAAATAAACTACAATGACTGTCTGTAAATTAAGGTCTCCCTTGAGGTGAAGCGAGCTGGTCAAGATCTGAGTCCTACACCAAGACTCCCAACCCTAAGCGGTGATTATTATCGTCATAGTAGCTCAAGCTCAAACAATGTGAGGTAAAATTGACGCTCCCGCTAAGTAAAAATCACTTTGAGATAAGGTTTATGTGGGAAGAAGGTCAACATCTAATGAAATCTGTTTTCTATTGACATATGTTTTTATACCTGAAAGTGTTCTGCACATAGAGCTAAATGTGCATGAGTGGTTTATGGAGACGGTCGTACATATTTTTTCGATGCTGGCAGCAAGAGATTTTTAGTTTCCATCTTCAAAGTTGAGGAAACTTCACTTGCTGATCAGTGGGCTTAATCCTATCAATAGTTTACTGCTGGCCTTAATGATCTTACCTTAATGTTTCCTATTACTATAGTAAGACAACCTTGCTTTTAATCACTTCAATCTGCGTTTAAAACAAACTGCACATGTTTACTACTGTTTGATACCTCAATCCACACAAATATACTCATAGAACACAATTTGTACTTTGTGGTGTATCAGTTCTCCTCAACATTGTTTTTTGACTAGTTACTTTGATGAAACGCATCGTATTGGGGTTAAACTGCATAGAATTGCAGCGGATGAAGTAAGGAACGCTAGTCTCAGATTAATTCTCAGGTAACTAGCTCGATGGAGACCTTACTTTACGAACAGCCCTCGTAGAATCGATGACAATCATATTACGACTAATGACAGTGGTGTGTATAGTTAAGTGACATGGGGTGACTGAAGCGTTTCTCTCCTCAGAGTGGTCGTGTTGTTGAGTGGTGAGGTGAAGGTGGCCTCAGCGGCAGCCAAGGTCGGCCATGCAACAGCCGCCTGCCATACAACAATTCTACTATACACCTTACAACCAGGAGGCAGCAGGGCCACAAACCACCAGTGGATGGATACAGGCGGACGCCACCAAAACCAACCAATACACGCATCAGTGTAAGTCCTAACACTGTGTACAACATATGTTTTTTAATTGTTTATGACAATCAACCGATAGTGGATTTTTTTTGTTAGTTAACATGTATGTAGGTTACATTTTAATTCATTGTTAGTCTAAATTGTTTAATATCAGAGTTAATTTTGTTGGCCGTGTTACGGAATATTTGTACAACTAACATGTTTTGTTACTGAATAACGATGTTAAAAATATAGTACTGTCAGTCTAATTTTTGTACATAGTTCATCTGAATATTTTTGTGGTTGAGTGTGATATTTGCTTGATATTAATAGCTTTGGTGTTGTTTGCTTTGCATCATATTTGCTTTGTGCTTTTTAAATTGTTGCCTGGTATTTAGAAAGCATTAAAAACTTTAAAGACTGCTTAAAAGGTCTAATTTTATGTTGTGATGCTATTTTGCTTGAATATTGCATGATTGTGTCTTGCGTATGTGTAAAATAGGCCTTAAAATCACTTGAGTAAGTAGTGTAATAATATACTATATTTAGGTTTTTGAGCAGTAAAGTCAGAGTAGTTAAATCGGTACAATCCAACATAACTTTTTTTATTGATTTCATTAATTCTTTAAAAAGTACCTTTCTTGCCTGATTTTTAGTATAACTTTGATATTTTAATTAATTGTTTTCCATACAGGAGGGGTAATTTTTCTGGGTAGGCTTCCACAGGATCTGATTGTAAATTGCGGTCTTCAGGGGTTTACTGCGTCACTCAAAAATGACACAACACCTCCATTTACTAACATTTCGGCCTCGATACAGGGTATATTTAATGGCAACTTGACTTCCGCAGGCTGTTGTAGCCAGTCAAACTGTGTGGAAATTTGTAGTATTACACCAACTGAAGTCAAGTCGCCCTTCTGCATTGAGATTGAAACGTCGGTGGAAGTGTTGCGTCGTTTTTGATACGGTCGACCCCTGAAGATCACGAATCTACAAATGTAAGCCTGATTTGCCTTAGTGACTAGTGCAACAATCTGGAACTACCCATTGCAAACTTTGTACTTAACTTTTAATATGAGTACTTGATCTGCAACTTCCTTCTGTTTGCTATTCTAGTCAGGCCAGTAGATGCATGCCCTACTTGAAAGTTTTATACATTGCATTGTTCATTGTGAAAGCAACTAATGTAGACTCTTACCTAAGAAAGTTTCTCTGCTCAAAATATACAAACATCAACATCTTAAAACTGATGAACTGCTAAAGTAAACTTACTTCTTGCATTATTTGTTAAAAAATGAATAATTGTGTAATTAACCTACAAATAAGTAATAAAAGCAGTTTTTACAAATTTTTTTAAATATTTCAAATATAATTTTGGCATTGATTAGATGAAAAGTAATGTGTTTTGCTATATTATTTTTGTAAGCACTTGTATGTTGCTATAAGTAGTATGCAAGCTTCAATGGTTGGTTAACCCAGGGTGTCCACATTCTGGAAAGTCAGGGATAGTCATGGAAAGTCATGGAAAAAAATTATGGTCATTGAAAGTCATGGAAATCCCCAATGATGGATGGATTTCAGGGGACCTTTCAATGCTCTAGTCGGCCGTAACCGCGACTATTGTAGCATTTTTCCGAATTTTTCAGAAATGTACGACAATTTCAATTTATACAGTTGTCTTAGTTTATGGGTTTTGAGTTTGTATTAGTCCATTGTTGTACCTATTGTACTCCATTGTTATCTGTTAATACATATTTCAATATTTTCTGTGAAATAACTTGTCTAGGCAAGTATTATTCGTGTGTGTACGGTATATTATTATAATTTTTGAATTAAGTTCGTGAGTCATGGAAATCAATGGTTAATGGTCATGGATAGTCATGGAAAGTCAGGGAAATTGATGAAAAAATTTCTGTGGACACCCTGTTAACCTCTTTACCTATCAGAATTAGAGCACTAAATTGAGCGTTTGTGAGAGTGTGTGCACAGGTGATGACCACCATGCAGCGCACCACAAACAAGGTGATTCCTTCATTTTTAAATCCTTCCTTTTTTAAATCACAGTCACATTTTCCCAATGTTAATGTTTGTAATTTTCATGTTATGTTTTTGTTGAAAAATGTAAGAGTTGCAGATTTTTGTAAAAAAAAAAAAAAAAAACACTTGAAACCAATTTTATATTTCCTTGAGCCTAGAAGTGGCTTTTTACTTGTACAAACTAAGTTTCTAGAGGTTAGTCTGTTAAACCTAGACTATTGGTAGAAGTAGACATTCCATCCTCATATTAAAGTTGTAGCCAGTTTTAAAATCAAAATGGACATTTTTTAAGTGGGCCACATACTGATTGCGCTCATGTAAATTACTGATTTCTGTTGAATAAGCAGATTTTTTAACCAAGCCAAACTGACGATTTATTGTAAGCTATAGCACCTTTTATGTTGTGTCAAAAATCACAGTAACAATTTCAAACACTACCACAATCTCTAACTGGCTCACAGGACTAAGTTCTTTTTGGATAAAAATTGATGACAGCTAGTCTATCCAAATTCAAGTCCAAAAATGTCCTATTACAAAGACAATTTTATTTGAATTTCTTTTCAAATAGCATTTTAAAATTTTGAGTAGATTTTATAGTGTTATTCATGTAGTTTCATTTTCTCGTAGTTCTTGATATGATTTCTATCACTGATATCGTGGGTGTTACAGGGGAGAACAATGGCGGGTTCCATGTGACTGGTAACCAGTACGGGGCCGGGCAGGTGCAAGGGGGCGGGGGACAGAACCGCCAGGGGCCTCCGCAGGCGCAGTCTCAACAACAACCCCCGCCTACGCCTAACACTCCTCCGGGCATACATGGAGACATGAACAAGCAGCCCCTAATACCTAACCAGCCAGGTCAGTATAGAACTTCATACCCCCCAGTCACTGTTTTTTTTTTTTTTTTTTTTTTATGGACATTAGTGAAAAAGGCAAAATTTATTTTTATGCAGGTTGTAAAAAACGGTCCTGGTGGTAACGCCTGTTTGAGGTGTGATATTTTCATTTGTAATTAAATGCTTAATTTGAGTATAGGCTCTTAATTCAAGTAAGGAATTATTTTAGTAACCCAAAGCACAGAAAACATAGTACTATAACCCAGAATGCCAACCGCATATTAAAAAGCGTTAAGTACTTTGAGAGAGCTTTGCCTGTCAGTTCGTAGGCAGCGCCACCAGCTGAGTGCATAGCAACGCTGGTGGCGCTGCCTACGAACTGACAGGCAAAGCTCTCTCAAAGTACTTAACGCTTTTTACTATGCGGTTGGCATTCTGGGTCATAGTAGTATGTTTTCTATGCCCAAAGTCAGATAATAAAGCAATAACTCCCTTATCAAATCAAGAATGGTTTTGTGAGGACGTCTTCACTGTAGCAACTTGTGCACTGGTATAACTTAATGTTTATGATTTTCAAAGTTTTGTAGAAATGTTCACGATTTTGCTGAACTCAATATTAAATTTTAATTCTTCTGGTTAATTGTTGAACTGAGTCACTGGTGTAAATAACAGGTTTCTCTCTAATGGCCCATAATTTTGACCAAGTCACACTGACAAAAAACTTATTTGAAAGCTGGCCTCTTTCACAGTCGGCCACAAAAAATAAGGGTTAAAGTAGAATTTTAGAAAATATCCTAATTGAAGTGACTCACTCAACTGAGTACTTTTTCAATTTAAAATAAATAGCTTATTTCCCATAGAGAAAATTCAAAAAAATCCTGTTGTTCATGTATATTCTTAACACATTGTCCGTGCCTTCATTATTTCATTGCTTCAGTGTGAGCTTAGCATTTACGGGTGTGTTTCGTATCACTTGTGCGCATAGAGAAGCTCCTGCCATTTCATCGTGTGTTCACCGCATCCTAATCCATCGACTATTAAGGAATTTTTCATTTTTTCATTGTGTTTATTATGTATTTTAATGTTTGTACCATGCAATTGAGCATTTCCAGCAGTCAATTTGTTTAGAAAAGAGGTTTTTTGACATAAATGTTATGACTCATTGACCTTGATGAGGTTCCCCACATGTAGGCCTACACCTTGAACATCAGTAACGAACATGTGTGTCAATAATCATTTGGTTCCATCAAACTTGCGTTGGCACACAACGGTTAATATTGGTGGCGAATAGTCACAGCATTTAATATTTGGTAGTAGGGATTTTTTTACGACTTTTCTCTACTGCCTACTATTGAGCTCTTGTAGAATCCTAGAAACAGTTTGTATCTGTGCTATAACTCGTCTGATGGCTGGAATGGTATCCAAACATTTTCCTGCATTCATCCATGATCAGTGTGTTGGCCAATATTAGTTACCTGGTGGCTCAGGCAGTAGCATGCCGGATCCATTGTAGCAATGTTGTAGGTTCGGTTTCTATTGCCCACCTAGTAGTGCTATAATACTATGCTAAATTAGCTTAGCTTATTGGAGCCTGATAGCTACAAAAAAGTCACGCGTCAGGGCCAAAACCCAGTTTTATCCTATATCCCGCTTTAGCCCCACTCATTGTCTAAAATTTCCTTTTTTGGAATAAAATCCTGCGTATAGAAACACTCTGCCTGCCACTACATATAGGCCTAATTAATATAGTTCAACCTAGGCACCGTACCAGCTCACCCTTTGCTTTGCGGAAAACGTCCCACGCACGGGCCCGAGGCCCATGTGGACGCACAAGTGCACAGATAAAGGATGCTGCCAACCTTTAACCTTGTCTTGCTATCAGGCTACTGTAAAAATCCAATATACAAGCCTTAAAACTATTTAAAGTTTGCTAAGACCAGACAATGTTAACTGAGTCCTAATAAATCAGCTGACATAATGTTCTAACAGGAAAAATTCAACCTGTTTGTTAAGAGAATTAAGAACTGTGTGGCACATTGTTGGTGATGAATGCAGGTAGACCGATGTTTGTTTTCTGCTTTAACAGCCTGTAATAGCAAGAAACCTTTGTTTGAACCTGTCTCGTATAATGTACTGTAGTGTAATATTTAGCCTCTATCAAGAACTCATGTAAATTATTCTTGTTTCAGGAACTCAGATCAATTTTGTTAGAGGTATTCATAATTCGGTGAGTTTTTTAATCACATACTTTTACTTTTAGTTTATTGTAATTATTTCCCTCAACAATAAAACTGTTGGCACAATGTAAATCTTTTAGAAAATACTCAAACGAAAATGGTAACATCTAAAAGGTTATGAATTTTTTATCTGGACTAAGATATGATGCTTGAGAACTCTTTGTGGACCTTAATATCAGATAATACCTTTTCGAATAAAAAAGTTACAATTAATTCTTTTTATTTTTAACCCTAGTAACATTAAACAGTTGGTGTTAGCGAATTTCCCCTATAGGGAATAAGCTATAACCATAGTACTCATGGTAAGACCTGGACCTGGGACCAATTTACTTTTTTGTTTTGAGGTCCCTAAGAGTCCAAAAATACCATCCTTTTAAATTCATATATATATATATATATGTGTGTGTGTGTCCGTTAGCACAATAACTCGAGCAAATATAAACCGATTTTGATGAAATTTTGTATAAACGTGTAAACCTACATCTATTCAAACGAGTTTGCGATACAGCATGGTCAGACTTTGGGAAAACGGGGGTTTTATGGGGTAAAAATCGGGTTTACCTATTTTTGACCCTAAAAACGTAAAATTTTGCAATTTCTTTTAAAACCATTTAGTAAAGCTTAAAAAAAACAAATAATTTAGTATTTAAGTGTTATTATGGTTACAGAGAAAATCCCAGATAATTTTAGTTTTAAAATTCCCATGTTATTCTTATGGAGAATAAACAAACTGTTGTAGTTTGAATGTTTATGGAAATATTTTGATAAAATTAGGAAAATGCATTTATTTTACACTAAACTATTAACATAAAAAAAGAACACTTTTACCCTCCCTGTTGCTGCAAACCTAAGTAGGCCTAATCGTTAAACTCATTTCAAAGATAGGGAATAAATGTAATTTTCCTACAGTCACCCGACAAAGTTGGCTTCTCTGTACTGTTTATAGTACAGAAAGCTGCTAATTGCTGCATATTTATACTTTGCCGTACGGTTTATACTTTGCCGTACGGTTTATACTTTGCCGCACATCAGGATTCCAACAAAAAAACACAAAACAGCGTGGTTTTATTATGTACGTAATCCGTGTACGCTTGGAAATAGGTTGGCAACACTTAAAGATAATAATTCTATGAGCAGCTGATTGACTATTATAACTACGATTTAACCTGTCATTTTGTGTTTATAGTTTCGGTATTTCTGAACTTTCTGGACTTTTCTTTTAAACGTTTTTAAAACATTCCTACAATCTTAATAAACAAGAAAATACCTTTAAAGTATTTTTTTAGGCGCGGAAACCACTTCAAATTACAAAAACATACGGAACTATATTCTCAAAACGCGGAGCACATTTCTTGCCGAGGAAAAATAGCGGAGTGATACGGACCGCGGGTACTACTTCCTCTAGGGCACCATTTGTGTTGCCAGCTGAACCTAAAAACGTGTTGTATAGTGTTTGAAAGACTAATTATTTATATGCTTTATATAGTGACTGTAGGAAAAATATAATGTGTAACATGAGTGAAAAAGGCCTTTGCTGCACTCGAGATCATTCCGCACTCGCCTGCGGCTCGTGCGTTAACATTGCTCTCGTGTGCAGCAAAGTGCCACTTTCACCACTAGTTACACAAATAACTATTTTTTTAAAGATTGTAGTTGTATCAGGCAAATAATGCGCTAGTGTCTACAATTCTATTTTCTACCTTATTTTTTGTTGCTGACCAAGTTGATGGGTCATAACAGTTGCTATAACTTACAATAAGTCATTTAAATAGTTTGACTTGGTAAAGTAGTTTGTATATTCGACAGTAATCAGTTATTTAGGTCAGCACTCTCTCGCTGGCTGACATATACTACAACAATTTTGATTTAAAATCTGGCGACAAATTCAACATGGGAATGTCTTGTATCAATATTCAAAGGTGAGATCAAGTAGAGGAGTTAAACCGGAAGTTCCTAAAACACACCTTAATTTTGTGAACGAAATATAGTCTTGCGTTGTGATTGCATGTTAATTGCTGGTTTTTTTTTTTCATTAATTAATTTTGTTACTTTAAATCCTTATGTAAACAGGTTTTTTTTTTGTTTTAGTACTTTTCTGATTAATATTTGTATTTTTAAGATGTTTAAATTGTATATTTGAAATTGTTTTTCAGCCGTTTCCGTTTACAAGACCTACAATGGCGTCACAACAACAAATGAGGCCTCATAATCACAGGCAACCAATGCCGGGTCTTTATCCAATGTCTGGTGTAAGTTAAAATCTATAACAGTTATATTTTGTACTAAAATGGACCCTTCCGTTATTACACTACCAGTACCACTGTATAATTTTTATGTGATTTGACACAATTGAAGTTTTTAGGGTTGTCTTTGTATACCGTAAGTCAATCGATAAATGTTAAATGAAAAAGTGTGTTAACTTGATATTTCAAATTGATCGTTATTCAGTTGGGATTATTTCTTATAAATAAATTTATTTCCAGTACTGGCACTAGTAAGCATTAACAGAAGCATGTAAAGGAATTAATTCTACATTTTAATTCTACCAGTTCTACTAGTTTATAATATGAAAATATAATTGTTAAAATCCAATGATAACATTTTCTAGTTACCAAATTGATTAAACAATGACTCTTTTCAGCTACTATCCTCACAAAAAAATCATTAAAACCCTTATCATTCTGTTTTGGCCTGACATTTATATATAAAGATAATCTATAAATAAATTATGTATTATATACTAATTAATATTTGAACAATTAATTACGAAGAAAATTAAAATACTGCCGATGTTGTATGAAAAAGTCTGAATTTAATTTCTAACGTGAAAAAAATTAATAAAGTTAAAATGTTTGAAATGGAAGCATATGGCTTGTGAAACGTGTAACAGTAGAGGTGGAAGTGTTTGTCGACAGTTGTTTGCTCAGAATATAATTGATCAGTTGTGTGATAACTGTTGCAGATTGTGACGCAGGCACCTGGCCAACCCATCACGGCCCAGGTCTTGCCTGGGTACCCTGCTACTGTCATGGTACGTACGTACATTTACATGTTCCTCAAACATTTCATCCTTATTTAGAGGTTTTAGTTTTTTGAATACAAAAATGGATTAGTCCCAAGGTAGATTTGATGAAAGAACTTAACAGCTGTTATTTTATTTGAAGTTCTTGTCTTAAATAAATGTGGTAAAAGGGAATGTGATACACAATACCGACATATGTTGAGTTTTGTCACTTGATTTCCCGATAGCATGAGCTTTCTGATGACGACAACGTGTGAAGTATTAAGTTGCCGACAGATACGGAGCTTACATTTAAATGGCATTTAATGGAATTTTAATTGTTCCATATGAGAGGTTAGTTTGTTATTCCTACACTCGTTCTTATTTGAGTTAAGATCGTTCCTTTTTGGAACTTATTTTTCTTTATTTGTTCTATCCGCATTCCATATTCATTTGATCCTCCAGCAATTGTCTCTTGTTTGTCTTCTTATTTTAAAATTCTGTTCGTAATTGTTCCATGTTCAAGGTTAGTTTATATTTAGGTTAGAAGTGCAGTCAAACTCTGCATTAAAATGGAATAAAGATGACATTGCAGATCCATAAGAATGTGTTGGTTTCAGTACAACCCAGGGCCGAGACAGAATACTCCCTATTCTCAGGGACAGTTCATTATGCAGCCACAGAACTACTACCAGGCCGCTGGCCCATGTAAGTATACAACTGTCTAATCGTACAAAAATACCCCCGCCGCAGCAAACATGCAGACTAAGCGAATTTCCATTTGACTGACTCCAATTAGTATTTTGTTGAAATTTTGTCATTTGATGCGCGTACAAGTTTCACCAGAACGCGAATTTCCGAGCTGCGAATGAGACATTAATAGAATTATCCTAACACTGGTGACACACGACCTTCGAAGTTGATGGCGTTGCTCTAAGAGAAGTGCATGCACTAGTTTTGGTCTTTGCCCTCGTTTCAATCCGCGTTACGACATGGTTGGTTGGAGTTTTCCGTTTACTACATTACTAAACCGCTTTATTATCCAATTGAAAAACATAGTACAAATGATGTTCAAGCTAATCTTCTCTCTGAGAACCTTCTGGTTTCAGTGAATGAAAACTCCAGAAATGTCCTGATGTACTAATCTGATATCACTTATCAAACTTTTATAGATAAGCCTTGTTTTAATTGCCTTTTAATTACATCAACCACATTTTGTTTCCTATTGATTTTGGATACTAACGTAAATATATCGACTGTAGTAAATTTTTTTTCAAACTTTACAGTTATTTTGCTCTCAAATGACTAAATGAGCTACAGCAAATGTCAAATTTGATCGTCTCCTATAGTTTTAGCAAATTTCCCTATAGGGAATAAGCTATTACCGTACTACTCATGGTAAGACCTGGACCCGGGACCGATTTACTTTTTCGTTTTGAGGTCCCTAGAGGCCAAAAACACCATCCGTTCAAATTCATATATATATATTTATATATGTGTCCGTTAGCGCGATAACTCGAGCAAAAATCATCCGATTTTGATGAAATTTGGTACAAACGTGTAAACCTACTTTTATTCGAAAGAGTTCGCGAACCAGCATGATCGGACTATGGGAACAGGGGCTTATGTGGGGTTTTATGGGGTAAAATTTGGTCTTCCCATTTTTGACCCTAAAAACTTAAAATTTAGCATTTTCTTTCCAAACTATTTTGTAGAGCTTAAAAAACAAATAATTTGGTATATTGAAGTGTGGTTATGGGCCTAAAAGTTACGGAGAAAATTCCAAAAAACTGTAAATTTAATATTCCCATGTTATTCTTATGGAGAATAAGTAAACTAGTAAACTGTTGTAGTTTGCTTGTTTATGAACATATTTCGATCATATTTGGAAAATGCATTCATTTCATACTAAACCATTAACATAAAAAAAAGAAACATCTTTACCCTCTCTGTTTCAGCAAACCTAACTACTTATTAAACTAATGTTATTTAAATAGGGAATAAATGTGATATTTTTAAGGAGACATTTTAGTGTAAATCCAATCAGGCCAATGGAAATTAGCTTAGTCTGCAGGTTTGCTGTGGCGGGGGTATTTAGTACTTTTAAAGGTTAGATGTGAGTTAAAAATGCTATACTAAACAAAAATCATCTTTTGGCTAGGTTAAACAAAATTTGTCTATTCACATAGAATTAAGGTACTGAGAAATTGGTAATAGTCCGATTGTAAGCACTGAGCGGAAATTCCAATCACACAAGGCACAGAGTTATACTCGCTAACAGTTTGATTAGTAATAAGTGATAAGTAACGAAATCATCTACTCTATGAGCGATGAGCCAAATCTTGGGAACTGTTAGGCCTGAGATAACCATTTTTGTCTTATACCGGGTGTTTCTGTTAAGAGTAGCGGGCTATGCAGATTCAGATTCTACATGCAAAAATAAGTCGAAAATGTAGAATAACTTTTTTGTGATTTCGGCTTAGTTTAGCCGTAATCCGCCATTTTGTATTTTTTCAAAAATAATAACTCAAAAGCCCTTGGAGATATTTTTATGAAACTAGGTTTAAACTTTAAGTCTACAGGTATAAACATCCGAAAATATCTTTGATCAGGCTCATCAAATTCGAAATGGCCGCCATTTTAAATTTTGTTTTAATGGCTGGTTTTTATGGAATTAAACTTTAAAAATTTTAAATGGCCGCCATTTTGAAATTTGATGAGCCTAATCTAAGATATTTTCGGAGAATGTCTATACCTGTACACTTAAAGTTTATACCAAGTTTTATACAAACATCTCCAAGAACTTTTAGATATTAATTCTAAAAAAAAAAAAAAAAATACAAAATGGTGGATTACTTAGCCGTAATTGAAAAAAAGTTATTCTACATTTTCGACTTATTTTTGCATGTAGAATCTGAATTTGCACAGCCCGCTACGCTTAACAGAAACACCCGGTATAGGTAAAAGTAAACTGCTTTTAAAATGACCATAGTTGTTTTCATGAAAAAGATATGCTTCAGGATCAAAATTGGACAAACGTTATAAAGTGCAAAATTCCACCATTTTATACGCTTTTTGGCGGTGATCCAGAAGGTCCCCAAGGTCGAAATTTGGATTTAGCATCTCATTACTATCACATACAAAACAAAAATACCCCCTCCGCAGCAAACCTGCAAACTAAGCGAAGTTCCATTTCCTTGATCTGATTTACAATAAACTGTCTCCTTTATCACATTGTATTCCCTATTTAAATAGAATTAGTTTAACAAGTACTTAGGTTTGCTGCAACAGAGAAGGTACAAAAGTGTTTTTTGTTGTAAAATGTTAGTAGCTTAGTAAGAAATTAAAGTATTTTCTAAATTTGATCAAAATATGTTCATAGGCAAGCTAACTTCAACAGTTTACTTTTTCTCCATAAAAATAACATGGAATAATTTTCTTAACTATTAGGCGCATAATAATGCTTCAATATACTAATTTTTTTTTTAAGCTCAACAAAATGGTTTGAAAAGAAATTGTGAAATCATATGTTTTGGCGGTCAAAAATGGGAGAAACCTATTTTTACCCCATAAAACCCAAAGAAATATCTCTGTTCCACAGAGATAAAACCCCCCATAAACCCCCGTTCCCATGTTCGATCGTGCTGGTTTGCTAACTCGTTCGAGTAAATGTAGGTTTACACGTTTATGTCAAATTCCATCAAAATCGGATAACTTTTGCTTGAGTTATCTTGCTAAATATATATATAAAAGATATGAATTTGAACGAATGGTGTTGTTGGCCTCTTGGGACCTCAAAATGAAAATGTAAATCAGTCTCATGTCCAAGTCTTACCATGAGTACTACGGTAGTAGCTAATTCCCTATATGGGAAATTCGCTAAAAGGAAACCTACTATCCCATTTCATGCAAGGTAAAATGCTCAAGGTTACTGGATTATAAGTACAAATGATGTTCAAGCTAATCTTCTCTCTGAGGACCTTTTTGGTATCAGTGAATGAAAACCACAGAGATATTCTGATGTACTATCTAATAACTTTGTTCCATCAATATCAGTCCTATTGTTATTTATCTATATATAAAGCCAAAAGTACCCATGAACTTTTGAGAAAACTATAAGTCGCAACCCCATAAACCATATACTTAAAATGTTCGTCATGATGAGAAACCTTTGTTTTGGAACCTTGCGAAATCCATTATTCCATAAATTGCCCTTTAAGGTCGCAATTCCTTTCTAAAGAGAACTTTCCATAAAAAAAAATACTTCAGCTGTACTTATTTGTATGTTCTTTCAATTTATTACCTTATTAAAATTGTTTGTATTACTGTATTCTGTTTTGTTTATTTCAGCGCAACTTAACCAATCAATAGTTTTATTAACACTTATCACTTATGAAGTCAAACGAGGAGAAGCCCGTGGGTAACAGCTAGTTTCTATAAAATACAAACCGCAAACTCGTAAGCGATTTTATTTTCCATATAAATTCAGAGTATAGATGATGTTAAAACTAATCTTCCCTCTGAGGACCCTTTTGTTTCAGTGAATGAAAACTACAGGCATATCCTGATGTACTTTTGAAGTACAGTTCGTCCAAAGTTTCTGTGCGCACGACCAGATCTGGTCGGGTCTAGGCGTGGGAGTGGGGGGGGGGGGGTACTTTTGTGAAAAAATTTGTGTCTTGCTACTCACTCACCCCTACCTCCAGCACTACCAATAACCGGTGTATGTTTTAGTCCGGCTAGTAGTGATCTGTCTTCGCGCACAGAAGTTTTGGCCAAACCGTAACACATCCGGAGCAATTGTGCATGCTACTATGCAAATTTCTAAATGCAAGGACTTTGTTTCCAAAATGGTTTCCATAAGTCAATTTACTACCAATAGCAAACCTATAAATATAAGCATGCTCAACATGTGCTAAAGATAACTACTGCATGGACCACTCTGACTTTTTTGTGAATTTTTAAAATCCACACGGCAGCCTCTGAGCTGTTGGTAATGGATTAAATATAATATATATAACACTTACCAACCATCAGTCAGCTCAAATGTTTGCATTTGCAAATTAGTTTAGGACACGTTTCCCCGCAAAGGTAGCATGATTAGCTAGTCTATGTAAAGCTTAGCCAATATCTTTGTTGATAATCACATAATACCCTCGCCGCAGCAAACCTGCCGACTAAGCGAATTTCCATTTGTCTGAATTGATTTTCAGTTAAATATATTTTAATAACATTAGGTTTACAGTAGAACCCCTCATATCCGGCCTTGGTTTTACCGGTCCTCTGTTTATCCGGCCCCTTCCAGGAAGCCGATATCAATTTTTTTTTTCTCACACCTTACAGACGTTTAGATACAAGCACTAGTCTTTGTGACTGCTCAAGTCATAAAATAAATTGTTCTCATTATTTATCTGTTTGTTTATACACTTATTATTTGTTGAGTCACTATACTCAGTTGAGCTAGTAGGCCTAACCTCTGATCAGTTGTCTAATTATTTCCAAAGTGGGTTTAGTACAGTACGAGTACATTAATTTTTGTATTTCACAAAATGGTTAAGAATGTTGAGTAGAAATGTGCAAGTACCATTTAAGTCCTAATGATCTTTAAGTACAATTTATTGTCATTTTTACCTCCATATATTTTGTTACCTGGAATCATAATATTTGTACATTCATTACTTACAGTAATGACTTTAACCTACAAATATTTTTTTCCTTTTTACAAACATGTTTATTTTTCTAAAAATGATCCCAGAACAGAATTAAATGATACTTTTGATTGCATATATTGATTATGAATTGTAATTTTCATAGTAGGTTGGTTTATCCGGCCAAATCGTTATCCGGCCAGGGGCTTGGTCCCGTGGTGGCCGTATATGAGGGGTTCTACTACCTAGGTTTTCTGCTACAAGGAAACTAATAAAGTGTGTTTTTGAGTAAAATATTGATAGCTTAGTACAAAATAAATAAATTTGCCAAGTTTGATCAAAATATATCCATAAACAAGCAAACTACAACATTTGACAATATTGTCCATAAGAATAACATGGGAATTTTAAATTTACAATTTTTTAAATTTTCTCCGTTACTAATAATCGAACAAAAATACTTTTACATACTAAATTATTTGTTTTTTTAAGCTCTTTAAAAAGGTTTAAAGAGAAATCGGGAAATTTTGTGTTTTGTGGTCAAAAGTGAGAAAACGCAATTTTTACCTCATAAAACCCCCCGTAAAGCCCCGTTCCCATGGTCCGATCGTGCTGGTTAGCGAACTCATTCAAGTTTATCCCGCTTTACACCTTTAAACCAAATTTAATCAAAATCGGACAAAAATTACTCAAGTTATCGCGTTCACGGACGTATATATATATATATATATAAGTCTATATATATATATAAGTCTATATATATATACATATATAAAAATTTTAACGAAAAGTGTTTTTGGCCTTTAGGTACACCAAAATGAAAAAGTATATCGGTCCCGGGTCTAGGTCTTACCATGCCACCTACGGTAATAGCTACTTCCCTATAGGGAAATTCGCTAAAACATGTAGAAACATAACACATGTAGAAAAAGTTAATATATATAAATGCGTAAGAAGCCTGTTTGCCATGGTCAAGACACAGTGTTGGTTCAAGACTTTCTGATTCCTTAGAAAGTAACTGTATACTACTATAAATGAAACTAACTGAAATTAACCGTATAGTACTTTCTATACAGGGTGATTGATATAAGTGTGCCAGCTGTTTTATTCGAAAGTTGTAAGAGATATAAACAAATGTTAAATGGCAACTGCTTTGGATTTTTTATTTAAAAAATTTTGGTCAAGTTGAAAAAATAATTTTAGCCAGCCGCAATTTTTCTAATATAGCCGAGAACTTAGATTTTTCTTATGGAAGACCCTAAATTTTATGATCTTTTTATAGAGTTAATGCAATTTATAAAAGTTTTTATTCTTGGTATTTTTCCTCTAAAGCTACTCATTTAGGAGTTGCATTGTTACCGGTATACAACTAAGAAAATATGACTTGCAGTGTACATTCTGCATCATGTAGCTCCTAAACGAGTAGATTTAGAGGGAAAAAAAGACAAGAATAAAAACGTTTTTAAATTACATTTACTTTCTAAAAAGATCATAAAATATAGGGTCTTCCATAAGAAAAATCATAGTTGGCAGCCATATTTGGAAAATGGCGGCTAAAATTATTTCTTTCTTCATCTTGACCAACAATTTTTGAATAAAAAATCCAAGGCAGTTACCGTTTGAATTTTTTTTATATCTCTTACATATAACTTTCAAATAAAACAGCTGGCACACTTAAATCAATCACCCTGTATAGTACTACAGAATAGTAGTAGGTTCTTAATAGTTGCGTGTGTTTGTGGCAGATTATCCGGCGGTCATCCCCCCTCAGTTCCCCGGACTGTCTAGTGGTGGTCCGTCCCCCCAGGCCGCAGGACAAGGTTCTGTGCCGATGATGAGGCCAGCCATAGTGCCAGCCCCCAGCATGGCACCTCCCCCAACCAAGCAGGAGCCAAAGAAGCGAACACATGCCATCCCGATCATCAACCCCGAGTCTGGAGATGAAGTGTTGCCTGACAATGAGAACAGAAGCAATAACAACAACATCACCCCCACTAGGTCGAACGACAGCAGCGCCAGGGAAACGCCACAACCGGTTAGTTCATGTCTATTGGCTGCAAGCTAGAGAGGCACAATCAGGATAGAGCATTGTTTATATATGGATTATTGTGGAAATATTATCCGTTTAATTATCTTTGCTTTGGAAATTATAGTAATAAAAGAAGGGTTTAATTTTTCAGTTAATATTAAATAGTAAGCCAAGGGTTTGCTGACTTAGATTTTGATCTCAACTGAATCAATTTAAGTAATTTAACTAGGCCTAATACTTTTCTTACAAGATGATTTAGTAATTTGATAATTTACTTATAGCTTAAGGAATCAAAATTTAAATGTAGAAGAACACATCACTTATCAACTCTACTGTTTTTTACATAATAATTAAAACAGTCATTGGAAAAAGAGACCTGGTCTTCTATACTAAGGGAATTAAATCATGGGTTATTTTTTTAGATCACAAAGTAATCCTAAAGTGGTGTTTTGTTTAATACTGTACTTATAATTACTGTCTTAGAATACGAGAGAAAGAAAAATGTTGTAAAATTAGATAATTATCAGACCTGTTTTCAATTGGCCACAGTCCTCCAACATGACATTGACTTTGGGTTTAACAGTATCATATTTGTTTACAGAACAGTGGCATTCCACAACAAGATAATAACGTGGCTGCTGACTTTGCTGCGAGAGTGGCAGCCAGAGCAGGAGAGCCGAACACTCCTGCTCAGTCGCCTTCAGAGCAGTCTCTCACACCCAGTGACAGTGAGCATAAACAGTCTAGTGCAGTTCCTATCAGTGAAAAACAATACTCTATGTCTCTATTATATATGAACAGTGAAGAGTTCGTACCCAGGTCGCAGAAACAGCAACCGAGTGAACCTATAGTGGTGGAGGAGCCACCCGTGCAACATGTTCCCACAGTCAGTGCCGAGACAAACTCTCCTGCGATCGATTTACAGCGGTCAAAAGATTACCCTTCACTCAAGAGCACCCCTCCTGTACAGTCACCGGCGAGAGGTAACAACAAGAAGAAGGTTGCTGAACCCGTTGTTCCGCAGCCCCAGCCCGAAAACAAAAAGGTTGTGAGGACTAGTGTTCCGAAGGAGGAGTTACCAAAGGAGAAGCGAGAGAAGGTTAGGTCGGTTTCTAAAGAACAGTCACCATCGCCGAGCCCGGTGGCTGTGGCCGAAGTTTCGTCTTCCCATGTTGAGCCAATAGCTGCTGCTAAACCTGTTACAACAGTGCCAGTCGCGATTATTAGTATGCCTCAGTCAGCTTCTGATGACCTACCCGCTGTCAAAACTCTGCAACATCAGAATGGAGAAACTCCGGTGCCTGAATCCACAGTTGCTGTTGATGGTAAGTTTGCAAGTTCAAATTTATTTTTTATGATAATTATGAAATTCAATCGTCCATCCCTATGATAAATAAAAGAGGGGTGATGGTAATGGTTCTTACTCTAAATGTAGTTAGTTTTGATTTATGTTAAGCCAGCAATTTTGGCATTATGTTAGTTCTTTTTTCACTTGTGAAGTTGTCATGGCTGCCAAAGTCGAATGAAGATGTTTCCATGCTTACATACATAATGATAACATGATGTTGTCATTTCTGCAACTGTTGCCCCAGGATATTGCCACAATCTCATTTCCAATGTTCCGTTTTTTTTCTAATACAAGTCAGTAAATAGATGTACACATCTGCCTCGCCGTGGCACTAATTTGACAGTCGCAACCCTCCACCGAAGAAGTAGCAAAAAATTGCCATTGCAGGAGGGGTGGTAATGTTTCTATGATCACGCAGGTCTGATGTCACTGTAATTGCATTCTCACATTCAGGTGAAAGCCATTATTTTAAACTGTTGGTCATGCAAGTTAAAGTGATTGCTTTTTAAATATCTAAACTATAACTAATGAAAGTAAGTTAAGTACACAAGTCAAGAAACTTAACACCCAGGTACGAAAATGTATGTATAGGTTGCTCTTGGTCAGCCCCGCCTGCTTGCAATCTATTCAATGCCACAACATTTAACCTAACCATCATCGTTGTCCGTACCGCTATTCCACTATATTGTAGAACGGTCCTACTATTCCGTACTTCAGTTTGCTTATTAGTTTAATTTTTAAGAGTTGAAATGTAGAAGACCTTCTGCAGTCACTGTAATAAGAGGTCATCTTCCGCAAAATTGAAGATTGTCCATGTTGGCGGAATTCTTTTTTTTATATTGATACATCTTTGCAGTAGCTTTTTTGAATGCGAAATCAAATCCTCGGTACGATCATGAACATCTGCCACAGTAGTGGCAAGAGCGAAAATATCGTCTGCAGTCATCGTTGATATCTTCCGGGGTCACAACAGAACTCCCACTTATCCGAAAAGGGTTTGATCCCAGTCAGTATGGAAAAGTTGGACTCTACTGTATTCCAAAGAATCAGTGGTATCCAAGAATTGTCTTTGGGTACGAACACATCACTAATGCACTAATGGGTAAGCTTTTTTGATTACCCTTTTCCCTCGCCACATGGCTAGCTGCCAATAATGTAGCGCATTGGTTCTGAAATGGATCTTACTGATATTTTTGATAGATGCATGCTTGACAGAAAAATGACTTTGTTAGTACTGTGCATGTAGGTAGAGCTAAAGTTCAACATCCAAATAAAAGTTCCCCCAAAAATTGTGCAAATATTGTTCGTATTTGTATAGCCAACATATTAATTGGTGTAAAATTATTTTCACCAAAGGGGACATAGTCTATATAAGTCATAAAAAAACATAATAAAGCAGAATGAATGTATAAATGTGCCTGCGGAATTGACGAGAACGTAAATCTTTGATTTTAACAACTGACCTTGATCAACCTAATTGCCTCTTCTACAGTTATACATTCTCAAACAGATGCAACATTGACAGCTTCTGACTTCAAAATCCCATCAAATGATGTTGTCCATTTGGCAAAATAAATATTTATTTAACCACCACACTCTGAAAATAAAGATAGGAGATAAAGAAGATGAGACTGAAAATTTAAACATAAAACAGGGTGGCTACTGGTCACGGAAGTCAGGGAAAAGTCACTGATTTTACTTGGGGATCATGGAAGTCACTGAAAAGTGACAGATTTTTATTTTAAGGTCCCAAAAGTCAGAGAAAGATTGGGCCTAGATAAATTAAAGTTCCCCAGATTTGTTTTTTGTCACTGCAGGCAATGATTAAATTGATAATCCAAAATCTGTGAGAGCGTCAAGAGCGAATGTAATTTTGGTAGCAGGCAGAGAGTTGAAATCGTTAAGGCAAAAAAACATTATTGTGTTAAAGTTACCAAAGGCTGTGTGTTTTTGTCTTTATACCCCCCTTCTCAAAGAAAATTCACTGAAATTTAGTTTGATTAATTATTAGACACCCTGCAAAACTAACTAAATTGTAAACGTAAAATGTAAAACAAATAATTTTAAAGCTGTAGGCTAACTCCTTTCTGGCAAAACTGTTAAGCAAATTAAAAATAGCCTGCAAAGGAACAGGAGTTTATGATTGACTTGAAATAGTTATTGAAAAACATGACAAAGAAAACAGACTAACAACAATGAATAAGGTGGCCACAGAACACTCAAATACCCCCGCTGCAGCAAACCTGCCGACTAAGCGAATTTCCATTTGCCTGGATTGATTTTCAATTATACTATTAAATTAACATTTATGTATAAAGAGTACCTTGGTTAGCTGCTACAGGAAAGCTAATATTGTGTGTTTTTTTATTAAAATATCAATAGCTTTGTATGGAATACATTAATCTGCCAAGTTTGATCAAAATATATCTATAAACAAGCCAGCTACAACATTTTACAATATTCTCCATAAGAATAACATGGGAATTTTTTTAATTTTCTCTTTAACCAATCACCGTACAAAAACACTTTGGCATACTAAATTATTTGTTTGGATTAGGCATATTTAAATGTTCAGCGGGTTCATCGATGATAGTTCTGACCACACTGAAGTATTCATTTGATTCTTCATCCATATTTTTTAGTATTTAATTGTTAGAGTATTACATTTCTCAATCAGTTTATAACATACCATGTTGTTTGAACACTTTTTTATGTTTTTAAAATATATATTTATGGTTAAAAAAACAATCATCGAATCGATTGACTTAGTCACAGGTAAGGGTTTCATCCTTTTCATCAGCATTGACATGCATATTTTTGGTTAGTTTATGAAACTTCCCCCAGATCTTAAACCCTTTGTCAGTGTCTTTGATTTTAAAACATGATCTGTGACGCACAGAATTTTTTCTGTTGAAAAATTAGAGGAAAATTGTGTTTTGTACTTATAATAATACAAACATGAATCTAAGCCATTTATAATCAATAAATTGTAAATCAAATTAATGAAAACTCTATTTATAAAATACATAGCAAACATAAGCAACACGATCAGGGACACATTGAGTTTTTTCCGTGTGTTGAAACATTAGACAAACAACATTTGTATACATATATTACATATTACACTATACATATTATATTACATAACTCTTCCCCCGATCACGGATCAATAGTCTATTCGGGGGAATAATTCCTTTTACTTACAATGTATTGTAATATTGTTTTTTATTTTATGGAATAAATAATTTTGACTTGACTTGATATTAATATTAAAACTTATCAAAACCATGTACAATAATTTAAATTGTTCATGAAATAAATAAAAACTCTTCCTTTATATATTTATAAAAAATACATAGCAAACAAAAACAACACCACCATTGGTGACTCACGGAGCTGGTCTCCGTGCTACGCGACTTTTCGGGCTTCAACTGATTAATAGGAGTTTTGGGGGAGAGGTGTGAGATCTAAATAATGTTCAATCGGTTCCTAGAAAGATGCACGCAAGGTACTGTTACTCCTAAAGTTACCGGCTGGCGATAACACGTATTTCTGTATAAAAACAAATGTACCCAGAGGAAAACTCTGTGGTTTCACAGACCAAAGGCCTAAAACGATACATTTCAACACTGCATTACCATTCTAACCTGTAGACAGAACAATAAAATCAATAAATGAGCAAATACGCTATGTTTACATCAGCTATATTTAAATCAGGTATATTTAAAAAAAGCTTATACAAACACTTCAGCAGTATACTTCCATTAGAAAATGACTGTAACACACCTTCCCACCGTCCTTGGAATTTTTTAGAGCTTTAAAATAAATTCTCAGCAGCCTTTATCCTAGCTTGAGATATTTCGTGGGGACCTATTCACTTAGGGAATTAAATATATATAGATGTAAATATACTGTTGAAGGCTCTAATATCCTTTATAACTACCCCACCCTCATTGAATCTATCATAGACAAAAGAATTAAATATAGACTGACAAATGAAGGTTTAGCGATGTGTCGCTAGATCGTGGTCAGTGTTTTTTTCTATTCACTGCCATCGTCGATTTTGAAGTCCTGTAATTTTAACAGAAAAGCCCACTTTTTTAAATCCTCAGAAATTTTTAAAACAAAGAAAAATAACAGAACAAGCTCCTACTCCTCGGATTCTGGAGCATTCTCTAGAAGTTGGCAACCCTGGCTCAAACTACCAACTTGTCATGGCAACGCTCGCTAGCAATTTACACTGCACTGAACCTACATGGTACTCCTAGCGGTGGATGCCAGAAAATATATTAACCTCAGCACTGCTGTCATTCTATCTATTTATATATAAATAGGCAAGCATGTTTCTTTAAAACCTTTTTTCTCAGCTCCTGTGCATCGTAGGAAAAATCTACACATACTGTTAGGAAGCTATTTTCCTGTAGGTATGCAGAATCCCTTTATAAATTGAAATAGGCTCAAAGATAAGCACAAAAAATGAATTTGAAATTAACAAAAAATTAACATGGGCTTTATGGGTTGCCATGCTGTTGAATAAATAACAACGAAATAGAAACAGAAAATCAAAACAAATGTTAGAAATTCAAATTACATGTTTTATTTACAGTGTGGGTTGAAAAATAGAGAAGTCTGTACAGTGCAATTGTTTTTTTTTAGCTAGAAGGGGTTAAGCTGTGTTGGAATATCTTTTAAGATGAACCTTATTAGTGCTATTATGTGTTCATTATGTGTAAAAATTTGAGGTTAAATCAAAACAAACAAACTGACATAATATATTCTTGGAATTTGACAATATACTTACTCTACTTTAATAAAATCACTTTGTCATTAGAGAATATTTACTGTGAAATCGAGACATGATTCCTAAATCCAAATCAACAAATGAGTAAATTGATTTTTAATTATTGCCTTCAAATTAAGTGATGGTTGCTTTCAAGATAATTAATTTAACATGAACAGATATTAAAATATTGAATC